GTGGAATAAAGCCATTACATATTTTCCATATTACACTAGTGTAATATCGTTTTGACGTGCTCTTCATGTATACTGAAGGAAATAAAATATCTATCTACGTTTAGCGGACGTTGCTTAATTTTACCGCGCTTATAAGGGAAAATAACGACAAGTTTTCGCTTTTCGGCGGCAAAAGTTTACCTGTGATAAAAAGAATATTACATTCGTGTCTTTTTAACAATTGAATTTATTAAACTCGTTGAATAAAATAATAAAATGCTCGCAGAGCCTCGCAATTTATTATTTTATCAAAACTCGTTAATAAATTCAATATTGAAAAGACACTCATGTAATATCCTATATTTATTTGATGCTAACTAATGAAATACTGTTCTATCAATGAAATATATTCATATTATATCAGTCACAGTGTGGTGATATAGATTTGGGTGATATAAGCCACGCCCACTCTGCGTACGTATTTATAAGTCTGGATTCCCTAAACATGCATTAAAAATAACTGTTTAATTTCATTCTAAATGACATATTTCTCGATTCAAATGTCCGTAATTTTGTAAAGATTGTTGACAATGAGACCGCAAAAAGAAATATAAATAAATAAGGATTATTTTGCTTGCAACGTTAACGTTTGCCGTCATATTGTTTACGCGCGCGTAGTCTCCGCGCTTCAGTAGTAAACGGTCAAAAGGCACATAAAATAAAAAGAAAATGTGTTTGCTTTTCGTGAATATGAACTATATCTCACATCGAAGTGAGAAAATGTTCATATTTTCACTCGCGCTACGCGCTCGTGATACATATTTCATTTTTTTTCTCACTTCTCAGTGAAATATATTTTCATATTCACTCAAAACAAACAAATATCCTCTATAAAATTCACTAAACACCGTCGTTTGAAACTATCTAATCATAAAAGGCGAAAAAAGCTAAGACGCGTCGAAACGATGATAAAGCGGCCCCGCCACAAAGACACGATCTGTTTAAACGAATTAACTATATTATTATTACTAGTGGAATAGATATGGAAAGTTCCATAGAGCGTCTGCAAGCAATTGGCACAGACTTGCAAAATCGTCTCAGGAAAGAAGGTTCCTAGATGTCAAAATGTCATACTCTTTAATTGAACCAAGATTCCTGAAAGTCTGCGGAAGTCAAAAGTCTGTCAGACCAAAAAAGGTTCATTGATGTCAAAAGGTCCTAATCTCTAATTAGATATCCTGAAAGTCAACGGGGTCTCAGCTACTTCCCAAACAATCATATATGGTCTCATTGGTGTAAAATATGGTCATAATTTGTACTGAAACTAAGATTAAGTCTGTGAGATTCCTTTAGACTGTCGCTGTATGGTGGGAAGAAATTTGAGGGTTCACAGAGGTAAAAGATCACTTCCAGTTGAAGTCTGATACTATGCCGTGCATTGTCACCAAAATTTTTTGAAGGTTTCGAGAACGTAAGACGACTTGATAGCAATACCATTACGACAATGCGACAGTTCTATGAAGACAATACAATGCCGACGATACGATATTGCAACAAGTTAGTACGATGGCGATAATGCAATGGTGGTGAAAAGATATTGGTATCGTGATGTCGACATCACAATATCGATTTATTGCATTGTCGCCCTTGTACTATCGCACTGATATAACCACGATTGTCCTTATGATATTCCGTGTATCACATATTGAAAAATAAACTTGTGACATTTGTGATTCGCCTGTTTAAAAATTCTCAATTTTGCTTGTGACGTTTGTGATTGGCATTTTTACCCGATTTTGGTCAATCACATTCGTCACAAAAGTCATTTGTGACGAATGTGATCACATTCGTCACAAATTCATAAAAACTTGTGACGAATGTGATTTGTGACACATGTGGCCTAACAAAGGTTGAGTAACAGCAAAGTTATTAATAAATAACATACCTGAATCGAGTGAAAAATCTGCGTGTACCGTACCCTAAAAGTCACGTGATATTGCCAGATTGGATATGAAAATGACCATTCTGATAGGCTTTTTAATCGGTCAATATGAAGCCAACGCTACACTAAGAAAAAATTGACTCTATTTTGAACAGGATAATTTCTGGTTTTTGATTTTTTAAAGCATGCAAGCCCCTTTTAGCGAAAACACTAGGACTATTGTAATACAAATAAGGAAAATTTGTTACTGTGTTTTTGTTAATATTGCAATGTTATATTCAGCCTCGGGTTCATACATGTATGACAGTCTGCGGCCTTATAAACAATGCCATTATGAAATATTTTAATTATTTACATCATAAATATATTATATCGATAGAAATTTCATATTGACCTCAGGCCATTAATTATGTATGTATATCTAATTGTTAATTGCTAAATCTACATGAAAATCTATTGTCGATAACTTATCTGAAAACATTTTGTACTGTATTATGAACAATTTATTGTAAAAATGTCTTATTCTTTACCTATATTTTGTAATAATGGCTATATGCTATATGTAGTTAAATGCCATATAAAATATTGATTTGAATTGAATTATAATGCATGTGGTCAATTCAATAGCTATTCAGATATTGTATGTAATAAGGTCGAGTCGGATATTAAAGTGATAAACAACTTTAAGAGCCTGGAGGGGCCGCGCGAGCAAATTTATCAATTTTGTAAATATTTTGAACAATGTAAAATTCAAGTGTATGTATAATATTTCCATCCATCTGTTTGTCCCGTAAGACTTCATACAATACTTTAATATATATAAATTTATCACATACACGTGCCATGATTCGTTTGCACTATAAACCGTATTTATTTTAGCTATGTGATAAACAGAAAATTATATTCATGTAGGTTCATTGCTGTATTTATTGAACACGTTGAGTGAAATAATAGTCGCATAACATAACTCTACTCGTTCAATAAACTCAGTATTGAACATACACTAAATAAAGAATGAAATACATTGGTAGATTTATAATTATACATATTCAGGTAAAAGAGGTCGCGTTTATGAAACAAACAAAAAACAAGTTTGAAGATTTTATAAATTGCAAGGATTCTACTTTACATTTGCTAAGAATAAGCCAAACAACTTAAAGTTCGAAAGTATCCGCATAATAATATTTATTCTTGTATATTCTATACAGTTGAAGCAATCTATTAGCGTCAAGTTATCATTCAATTACATTCACATGAATTATCACAATCAAAATATTTCTTTCTGTATTTGATTTCATCACAATTTTGATAACCCCCCCCCCCCCCAAGAAAAAAAAACAACAACAAAAAAACTTATGATGGCAGAAGTCTATCTATGATGCGAAGCAAAGGTGACCTATGCGCATAAATATCCATTTTTAAAAAAAAATGGAAATAGAAAGTCTTTTTTTTCTGGCGTACGCCAATGGTATCGTTACAATATCTATAGGCGCGTCAATTAAGTTAACTCTTTTTAACTGTAAATCAGTTCTTATGTTGGATATATTACATTCGTGTAGATTCAATGAACTCGTTGAATGAAAAAATATATAATGCTCTCCAAAGACTCGCATACTATCATTTTATTCAACTCGTTCAATATTAAATCTACAGTCAGTCAATATCCTCTATGGATAAAATAACTAAGAAAAAATGTAAGCTAAGAACCTTTTTGTAGGATATTATTTAAAGTATGAAACTATAGTTAGAAGATCTACAGTGAATCTCTATCAATAATATTTATTGCCATGCTTCTTCATTTTTTTGTTAATCTTTTGTGGTTGTTTCTTCTAAGAATAAACTACCGTCTGTTTGTTCCTATTGCACTATCAATTTTATTCCGTGACATATTTGTATGCAAAGCATAATAATATCGTGACATGGTCGGATACTTAGAAGCCTAAAACTACGATTAATAAAGAAAATAAATAATTCGCCTCCATTTGTTGTATCAGTTTATAACTAAACGTGATGATTTGTGATTGTTTAATAACGATACTGTGTACCCAGATACAAAAGTTATAATTTGAATATTTGCTCGTGATGTTTGTTTAAAATAAAGGACACTAATCAAACAGTGCGGACCGTCAAATAATGTTTCTTCAAATCTTAGAATATTTTATAGTGTTTGACAAAAAATATCGAAAGTAGTATTCGAGTGTTTATTCGTTCCACATGTGATACTTGTTCGACAAAAAGGAACGCTCATGTCAGCTCGCGACAATACCAGGGTATTACTCCGCATCAGCGTCTTGGTAACGTATTGCTCCGCGTGAGCGGCTTAAGTGTCAATTATGAAATCATTTTAGACTGATGATTCTATTTTGTTTGCAGTAAAATTTCACAAGGTTGTAAAGATAAATCATCAGTTGACATTAGTCATTATGAGTGACTGTCTAAGAAAACTGGACGCGATAAATTAATTGTTTTTCAAACAAGAATTTGATATGAAGTGTAACGACAGCTTTGCTTACCGGCATTACTTAAGCCGGTTACTGTCCGAGAAGCGCCAGGCTTTTTCGTCGTTACAGTATCATGTGATTATCCCAGGCACATGTATCTGTAAATATTAAACGTTTCGGTTTAAGTTGTTTTTGATGCTGATTAGATTAATAATTCTTGCTGCGATGGCATGGTCAAGTGGCTAACGCGTCGAAGTAGTTATCTAAGTATCGCTATTCGTATGGGTTAAAACCCCGTAAGGAGCAAGTCGTTGTTTCCTTGAGCAAGAAACTTAACACTACTTGCTGAGTACCTGCTGGTTGGTTCGAGGACCGAATTCAAAAATGTTTATTAGCTTATAGTTTCCAACACCATCTATCTAAAATAAATTCTTTAAAAACCAACTCTTGATGCGCCATGTCTAATACAATCCCTTTATAATACAAACATTTTTGTATAAATAAGGAACTTATAAAAAAAAGAAAAAAAAGAAAAATGAATGAACAAGTTACTCTTTTCTACATATTACTTCTAATATTATTTTATATGTTTAGCTTTTTTTAATTAAGATATCATAAACAATTAATTTTATTTGCAGGATTTGAAAGGTCAAAAACTTACAATGGCTGGATGGCTAACATTTGTAAGTATTACCGTTTGACATAGAGTTTAGTCTCCAAATAACAAACAATAGCACTGGCCTCTTTGTTGTTATATTTTTGGTCCCTCGGAATAATTGATTCCAGCACATTATTGTAGAAGATTGAATACCACTTAAGCCGGTGCTAGGGGGGCGTGAGAGATATTGCATTTTATAAAATCTCTTAGGAACAGACCTAATTAAACCGAGCCTGCAATTTTTAAATAGTTATGTTGTTTCACTGCTTCCGATGGATCAACCCTTTCCAGATTTTTATGCAGTATTTGATCTTGAAACAAGGACCGACGTTATGTGATCAATGTTCCCGGATGGAATATAATGATATCACGTGCTGCTAGCTAAACGGTTACAGTCCCACCTGTATTATAAAAAAAAAATCAACGCTCGACTCTGCATAAAACACGCGGTACATAAAAGAAAAAAAGAAAAACAGAGTCCTAAAGAACACCCAAAAACGGCAAGATTGAAAATGTCGTAGGCTCGATTTAATTGCAAGCTACCGTATACCCAACATTAAAATGGTGAATATTTAAAATAAAATAAAAACGTCCGCAGATGTAGACCTTTTTTTTTATTGTTGTTTTGCACATAAAAAAATCAATCATCATTTACAGGAATGGGAAGACCACAGGATTCGTTGGAACAAGACAGAAAAAGATGACATTGAAGACATTTTTTGCAAGCCTAAACATATCTGGAAACCGGAATTGATTGTTGATAATGCGTAAGTTATTATTTTTTGTGTTTGTGTTATTGCCCATGTCTACGTGTTATAGTAAAATGCAATTTACATAAATAATTGATTCAGTGAAAGAGCTATGTAGTTATGTGACATAACTTTTACCTTCTTTTCTTTGGCCAAATTTCTTCCCTTATAATTACCTTTAGAAATTTGACTTAGTTTTTATTTAAGTCTGTTTTAGATACCAATATGCTATACAAATATGCAGTTAACCGTTTTGCAGAATGGCTTGCAATAAGATTTGTTTAATCAAATATTATTAATAATTGCATCACATGCTAAAAATCAGGATCCGTAAATTAGCATTAAAACATTAGAGACAAACTAGATAATTGAACGTGTAAACGAATAGAGTATACTATTACATGCCGTCCGTTAATACAGGTCAGACAAACGTCAAATATTTGGGTTAACACTCGACTTTGAAGAAAAAAGAATTTGTAGAGCCCTTATGTAAATAATACGATATTGATCCCGTTAAAGAAAAAAAGTAACAAAAAAAAATCTAGAACATTTACGTTTTTTCTTGTTCTATTTATTAAATTAAATTTCGCGATGTGATAGTACTTATTTTATATTTATATGTATATAAAAAACAACATTTTCTATTGTTTGGTAGGTTTGTGATTTTTGATTATTTGAGTGTAAGTCAAGTCAAGATATATTATCTGTATATTAATAATGCTGATGTATACGAATCAAAACAATGCAATGCAAATTCAGGAGGTGACAAATACGAAAAAATAATATTATACAATAATATTTGTCCTTTCCCAGATATTATAATAAAATAATAAGTGTTTTCTTTACAACAGAACATACACTGTGTATTTAGTTATCACCGTTTTTTTATCATTTTACCTTCAAAGACTTGAAGACATTGGACTCATAAAGAATGATGACTTAGTGTTGAGGTTGAAATATACAGGGGAAGTTGAATGGGAACCTCCTATTCTTTTTGCAACACATTGTAAGGTAAATAACGTGAATATTTATGTTACTGGACAAGTCGCAGCAAAAATGCAAACTGGCTGGAAAACAAACATTAAGAATTTTTTTATTCTGTAATTATAACCATTTTACAAGAGAACTTAAAGTGCCCAGCTCAGGCGCACCTAGATTTGTTAAATCATATAAGTCATTTATATGATACAAGATTAGTAGTTTCGCATAGTGCTGAATCAAACCGAACCAGCAGCATTTTTATTTTGCTGTTTTGGGCATTCTTAAGAAATTATGTTCACTATTTCAATAGATATGACAAACGGCCAAAATCTGCGCGAGAGCGTTCATCTAGTCCGGCTTAAACATTCTACCATATTAAGAAGCATAAGATGCAAAAATTGACTGGTAAAAAACTAACAAAACCATATCCAGTAATCGTTTGTATATTTGCAGCGTCTTGTTCATAAATATATTATGTAACACCTTCAGTTGACAAGTTTCTAAAAAAAGCTTAAATTACGCATTCCAGACTGAAAGATTTGGACATAATATCGAATGAAGGACTGCTACTCCGCGTTAGATATGATGGTACTGTCGACTGGGAACCGCCTATGTTATTTGTAACTCATTGCGAGGTTGGTTCTACCTTTGAAACCTTTCCCTGCACAATTTTATTTCAATGCACGTGCGCTGTTTAAATACTTGACCTCATAATGATGATAGTAATTTAAATGTCAGTTTGCTTGAAATGCATTGAGTGTTCGACAGTAACTCTTACCTGATTGAATACGCGGGTATTTTGTGCCAGAGACCAATAAATGGTCTGCGACCAACGCATAAAAAGTTAATCTTGACAAATTGTTAATTGTAAGTGTATGAGTTTGTTCAAGTGGATATCGTTTAAATCCATTATTCATATGAAGATCTTATATACTTTGTTTAAAGGTTATTACAAAAAGAAAATAATCGATTTGTACAATCTGTGTATAATATGTCAGCATAAAAAATTAGTGAATGACAAAATATTATTTTTGTATTTGCAGGTCGACATAACGTACTACCCATATGACAATCAGAAGTGTTCAGTCAGAATTGTGAGTTGGACTTATACAATAGAAGAAGTAAAACTTGAAACCCGGTTCAACGAAATTAACTTGGAAGATTTCGAGTAAGTTTTTGTAGACGACTATGGCGACAACAACGTTAAAACTTAATATGTTGCAATTATCGTGCATATTTAGCACATAAGGTATAATACAGCGGATAAATGTATTCATATCCATTTGTGTATTTTTCATATACCTTTACATGGAGAGGGTAAAAAAAACAATTTCCCTTTTTCCATCAGTTTAACAAGTAATGTAAGAGAACAATAATTTTATAAGAAAAATACTTCTGTTTTACTATGTCTTATATTCGTTACGCATTCATTTCTAAAAACTGAAATAAATAAATATGTTTAGACAAATGGCATCGAAATTTTCTTTTGCTAAGAGAAAATGATAAAAAGACAACATTTTCGTACGCGTATCGTCTGGTCTTGCAAAAAAAAAAAAAAAAAAAAAAAAAAACAGCACCCGCACATATTGTTTCAACAACGTCTTCATTTTAACAATGGAATTTCAGTGGTAAACATATAAAGAATATTGCTAAAAACTGCATTTATTGAACGAGTTGAATGCGAGCCACTGGCGAGCATCATATTATTTTATTCAACGAGTTCAATAGATTTAGTAAAGGACCTACACGAACATAGTATCTTTTTATCAAATACCCAAAATATGTCTGTTTTAAGTGAAAAAAAAATCATTTTTCATTGATGCGCCGCGTTTAAACAATGTTTGTATGAGGCAAATGACGTCACGTCAAAATAATTATATGCACGGCCGTGCAATACCATTTTCACGGAGTCGTAAAAGCGGCACAGGTGTGTGATCAACTGAAGGATATAACTTACACTTTGATATATAAATGCTTACGTTTTACTTTCACATATTTTAGAGTACATGGTGAGTGGGATTTAACAGACACTCTGGTTGACGTCAAAAACTTAACCGAACATCTCCCTGATGGGACAGTAAGAACGTATCCACAGGTTGATTTTTGGGTGTACCTGAGTCAGTACTTTAAAATTTCGTTTTAAACTTTTTTGATATTAATTGATTAAATGTATATAACATGCACTATTTCATGAATGATAGAAATTAAAAGCCTATTGTTATAAAATTATGATGCTTTATTCTAGTGTATGAACTACATTACACATTTCATCGTCTTCGTAAACAAATTGACAGAATTTGTTTCAACATTTTCGGGCATTGCATTGTGTCCTTTGCTTTTAAATGACTGAAATCAAGTAATTATAATAATGTTATTAAAGTTGATTGGTCTACAATTGGCACAGTTTCCATACGTATTTCAAATATTGATAAAAGTAATAGAAATGTATCATTTGGACATTCTTTTAAAATGTTTCTTGAGAAAATGTTGATATATTAAAGGTTTAGTTAGTACAATTATATGGTGAATAATAATGATGAATATCGGAACGTACCAACAGCATCCAAACACAATTATTTCGTGGTTTGTTGTCGCGCATGATACTAAATATTATCAACATAATTATTTATGGTATAACAGACCTTCCATTATGGGTCAATTCAATTTACCAACCATGTTCTCGTAATATCACATTTTATCACATGACATTATTATGCGGTTATTGTATTGTCAAATTCGATTTTTTGTATCATCTGCAGTATTTTTTGTATAATTATCAGTGTTGCTTGTATTATCACCCGCGTTTCTTTAATTTTTAGAGAGAATTAAGGACTCAGTTCTACAATCTGAACGTAATGATGCCAATCATTCTGACGTCACTTATGGTTGCCTTGGTTTTCATAGTGCCTGTAGACTCCGGGGAGAAAGTCTCGTATGTTCTCACGGTATTTCTGTCTCTTGCCGTGCTCCTTACCATAGTGACAGATTCTCTGCCGCCCACTTCTATAACCCTGTCTGTCTTGGGTAAGTAAATAATTAAGATATGAAACCTTTCAAAACCTTCGCCTCGTTCATCCAAGCATGAAGTGCTTAAATTAAGTACAAGTGATTCTTGATTTATCCTGCTACTGTCAATATTATCAGCTGGATAAAGCCTTGCCGGATAAACTTATCTATCTCCAGTCATTACGTCATATGATGACGTCAACTGTTTAGCAGCAAAACAAAATTACATAGAGATTCTATTTTATCGAGGAAAAGTAAGAATGAAACCATTTAATTATTCTAAAAACATGATTAAAAGCAGGATAAATCAAATACATGATTGATGTCGGGATGGAGAAAGTTTATCCGGTTCGCTGCGAAAGTGAATCGTGGCTCGCTTAAGCTCGCCAAGATACACTTTCTCGCTCACCGGATAAACCTTCTCCATCCCGACATCAACCATGTATTCTCTATAAGAAAGAATCAGCAGTCATTAAATATAGAATTCCGAAATACAATCCATAGTGAATACTGTAAAATATTTGATGAATAGTAAAACGTTTAATAATATTAGAAACAATCCAATGAACTTCCATTTCAGGCCTATATCTTGGTATTGTTCTGATATTCACTGCAATCGGAATCCTCCTTACTATCCTCATCTTAATACTCTTCCATAAAGAAGGTAGACCAAAACCGGGCTCTTTTGTCGAAACATTGACCCACCATGCCGCCAGATTAATCTGCTGTAACATACCTGGACTTCAAGCAAAGTCAAGCAAAGAACATACCGGAAACAAAGTATCGCCTATGACAGAGACTCTTGAAACGCAGATTATAGAGAACAGCGATTTTGAAGATGAACTTAACAAGGCAAAAGACGAGTTGGATAGTCTTGCAGAAACTGAAGCCATTTCTGGTATATCATGGAAGGATGTTGCAGAAGTTTTGGATCGATTTTGTTTCTTTTCTTTTGCGTTCATCACAATTGCTATGAACGTTGCTTTTGTGGTAACTCTGGCATATGGAGGGCAAATTACGGGTCATGATTAAATCAAATGAAGCGGCTTCCTTCTGTTTCTCATATCTGAATGAAATGTAACTATAGTTGTATCTTTTGTTGGCACCTAGTCTATAAATGGATTTTCTTTCATCTATGCACATTTCCTTGTTAATTTGCCTAGAAAATTGGCACGCATGGTAATCATGAGTTTTTGACGTCACGTCAATATACGTGCAAAAATACATTTACTTCCCCAGTATTTATATAGAGTTTCTATTATTTACATTTTCTTCATGTTTATTTGCAAACAACAGGATTGAGGAAAGCTTAAGGAATTTGTAAATAAATACCAGAAACTATTTACCTAATGGATTTTTACCGTTTGCTGCAATGAAAATATTAGCCCACCCCTTTGTGCATAGCTTTGTCAACTGCTCACAAACAGCATCACAAACTAAACTATTTGATATACTGTGCAAACCAGGCCAACTATTTTCCTCTTGACGATGATGCGCGAAAAGATCAGTAATTTTCACGAACTTATACAATAACGCAGTTTGCTAGTTGCATGATTATTTTAGGGAAATATTTTTCTTTCACCACTGATAATTAGTATGATCGGAATCGGGGCCATTTTCAAACACTACTTCAACGATGTTTTATTCTGGGAAACCATTCAACGACATGTAATTTCTGGTTTCCTCCTGCTTGATAATTAATATTAATATCAATTTACTGATATGAACATTTTGTTAACATAGGTACTTTTGCTGATGTTGTTGTTGTTATTGTTGTACTTGTTTTTTGTTATAAAGTCGTCGTTCATTAACATTATATTTTTGTCATTTGTGCTCTGGATGTAAAAAAGGTTTTATACAACGGCGACACATGTTTTGCTACACCGAATAAATATGTACAAATATACCATTACACTGTATTCAAAGCCGACTGGATCAAACTCATTTTTTAAAACATTACTGTCTGGTCCTGTAATATCATTTTGTAGATTATTAAGTATACATGTTTTACATTGAAAACAGATTGAATGTTTATGTTATCCTAAATCTGTTAATTAATATAACACAAATATTTCACGTTTGTCAATTACATGTACTTTATTTATTCTTTATTTCGTTATGATTTCATTTGGACTATGCTTAAATCAACCACTGGAGTTGAAAGTAAATACATTTTGCCACCAACACAGAGCCTGTAAATACAGAATAACCTCTGCAGAAAGAACAACAATATCCTTTGGTAGACATACATTATTGTCGTTGCTGGGAGATTTTGCTCTATAAGGGTGAAATTAGGTTACTAATACGTGAGTTGCCTTAAAAAGGGCCCCTCTGTAGACATTATACTTTATGTGCAGTTTGGACAGGGTAAAAGCATTTTTATTTTCGTCTTCATTCTTCTGAAATTGAAAACGGACATACTACAAAAATGGAAATTTAAAAATCAATCCAATTTCTTTCTCTTTTTAAGTGTTTAAGTCTCTGTTTATTTTGCATGTTTTCTTATTTTGAGTTGTGTAGCTAAATAAACTTGTATGCGTATTGTTTCTATGACTTTATCTTGATTATTTTTCAAGATCATTCGTGAGAGTGACGTTCTGTCTAGCGTATTGATGTCGACTGTTCATGCTTCGTCGATATATTTTACTATCATAATAAAGTATATATTACATTATGGTTTTAACATCCGGTGTACCTGAGACATTTGCAAACCATTCATGTCATATATATCACACTAAAATTAGCAGACAAAGTATGTATGACTGTGACCATTTTAACAAAGTAACGCCGAATTCGTAAATGATGCACCGAACCAACGCTGGTTGAAACATAAAAAGTAGCCGAATCTAATTTTAGCTGTTTCCTCAATCTCATTAATATGTAGCGAAGAGTAACGGAAAGTGAAACCTGAATCTGGCCTTCAAAACGACAGTCAGGTTGTCATTCTTACTAATTATATAAAAAAAGGTTGTCATATACCTGGACAGTAAATATATTGCTGGTTGAGGTATAATGTCATTTGATAATTATTTTGTTACTCGCTGTGTTTCTCGTTTTGGCCTTGGTGTTCGCATATTCTGCGTTTCTTTTGCGATATTTGCACATTCCCGCGTTCCAAGATATGCACGGTGATATTGGATGAAAGTCATTCAAATAAATCATTTCTAAATACATTAATGGGTTGTTACTTTTAAGTATATATCAATAGGACTCTGTTACTTCTACAAAGTTAGTTTGTTCTTCAATGTGTCAATTTCATACAACACAGATAAAATCATGAAGTGAATTTAATAACGTAAATCTGCGGTCATCCAAAATGTTCCTTTCACCCTGAATTTTGCAATTCTATTACAAATTTGGCCGTTATGTTGATATTAATTTATTTGTCACTGCCAGTATTCATTCTATATACCAACAAATCCGATTTAATTAAAGGATAATATTTGAATCAAAATGTAGGCCTTAAAGAACAAAACGCTAGAATTATATTTAACGTAAATTTCCGGAATGATGATAAATCCGAACGCCAACATATATCGTCCATGTTAACTTTGAATCAATTGTTTGAACATTCGAGAAATACTTCATTCTCTTTATCAAAAAAATGTTGCTATTTTCTCTAAACGCATATTGTCATTTTTATTTGTTTGGGTCGTCAGATCAAACAAATAATGGTACCGAAATTTCAGAGTCTGTTGCTGTTAATTGCAAATGCCGAAAGTAGGCCGCTTTTTTGAAGCGATTACTTCCCTTTATATGTACACTAACGCTGAAAAAATTCAGGGGAGATCACTGCGTAAAGATGGTCAAATGACTGGCGCATTAATTTTCAAGCAAAGTAATTCCCGAATGGTCGAATATTTCTAATATTGTTTTATCCGTTATTAATATACATGCTTATAATAATCTCCATGATTATTAACATCTGTATTAGACAACAGTTAGCGTCGAAATAATAAGGGCTACAAACCCTAATTTAGAATAATATGGTTTTCTCTAGGCCTTTTACTTATAACTTCACTGTGGCCGAGGGGTCTGGAGTTCAAATCCAGGAAGGAAACTTTTATTTTTCAAATTGTTTAAGTCAAATAAACATTAAATTGAATATCAGTATTGCAATTAGTCTTAAAGCCAATTAACTACAATTAAAACGCTGGAAAGCACTGGTGGCACTTTACAAAAACAAATTGGTTTATAATCTCACAACCTTCACCTTTCTGACATTCTGAGACCCAAACAAATTCAGCGCTTTCTGTGCTTTGATTCAATAAATGATTCCTGTCAATTTTATACGAGATACAGCCTAGATACAAAAAATACAATATGTTTTTTTAATACTCTGAATTTGTTGGGTTTTTTTTTACTTTTTATGAAGAATATTGCCTTATTTAACCTGTCAGATGCTTACATTTTGTTGATTTTTGTTTACTTTACTTCAGCTGCCACGCGTAATGTAACCAGGGGCAATTATTGAATAAACATAAAGCAACGGTTTCGAAATTGAAAAACAATGTTAAGAAATAACTTACCCAGTCAATCGAATCTATATTTGTTATTTTTTCAGCACATGTGTAAATCCGTTCATTTCTTTATTTATAAACTGTTTTCCATATTTATATATACCCACATGTACACATCCACAAGTCGCACGAGATTCCCAATTACTGAACTGTAAACACCCACCCACCTACGTACTGACCTTTTCAGTGCCACACTTGTGAAAGTGTACTACGTAAATTGCTGTATAAACGCTAAAGTGATTGTACAATTTAAGATTTGATGACCATCAATAAGAGTTTAATCTCAAACTCCCCCCTTGTTAAAAATATAACAATGATTAAATTTAGTAAATACCTTTTCAACAATTTATATTCATACCATAATCTGCTAGCAAACTGCCATGTGTATATATATTCTATATTTGTCTAAGTGAATAAATCATGTTGTTTCATGTATATGTACTGTAGAACCTGATTGTAAATAAAAGTATATGTCTGTCTGTCTGTGTAAGTTCCAAAAAGCATTATTTGTAAAGATATTACCGAATTTACATTTTATGTAAATAACGGAAGGTTATTAGAAATTTTTTTTCGAAAAGGTCTTAGGCCAAATTTTTCAATCAGAAATGTATGCATATATTTTAAAAGATTACTTATAATGCGTATAAACATTTGCAGTACATATTTAATATATTCTTGGATGTTTGGAAATTGTTTTAGAAGAATAATTATACACATATTGTTAAATATTTAATTACAACATATAGGATCTTTAACATGAATTTAGATATTGCGACATTAAACGGTAATCTTGTGTCATTAACAATAAGGGAAAATAGTGCTGCATTTAAGTCATAATTACGATATTTAAATGCAAAATATCTTGAGACATTTAACGGCGGTTGCGAGATTTAGCGGCAACAATACGACATTTAACGGCAAGTGCGACAATAAAGGTAACTGCGACATGTAACGGCGTCAAAATTGTTGTTTTTGTTTTTTTCAAGGTCGACTGATCAAAAACTTAAACTTCCTAATATTTATTATTTATCCCCCACCCCCGACTCTTAAATTAAAAAAAAAAATCTCGTAAAATGCTTGATAAAAAATGTTGGCCTTATTTCATGATGTTACAAAAACCCAGCTCTGTTTCGATAACAATTAAGTGACGCGCCGGCCAGATCCACTGTTGTCTACTTAATTTCTAGTGATAACATAACCTTCCGTATGGTGGCATATTTCTGCCACCAGATAACCTGATAACTAACTAGTTAATTAAGAGGTTAACTAGTTACGTAACTAGTTAACCTCTTAATTAAATATTTAGTTATCAGTAACTAGTTACGTAACTAGTTAACCTCTTAATTAACTAGTTAGGTATCAGGTTAACTAGTTACGTAACTAGTTAACCTCTTAATTAACTAGTTAGGTATCAGGTTATATGGTGGCAGAAATATGCCACCATACTTCTGGTCTGTTAATATTTCGCAAAAAATGAAATCTTAAAGGTTATTTTATTGACATTCTGATGTCCTGTAAGTGGTTTTTGTCTTTAAGGACTATAAAACTGCTTTATTGTTGCATATATTTCATGCAAGTATGATTTACTTTTTTAAAAATGTATGTCTCATTTTATTATATAAAGTATCATCATATTGCATTACATTTAATTCCATACCCATACATTTATCACACGATACAGAATTTAGATGCTTCACGTTTTTTTTGCCCCAGGGATTTTTACATAGGACCACAAACAATCTAACGTTTCATGCGTAAAATATCGAAGATCTTTATAAACACTGTAGTTTCACACAAGAAAGCTTTTATGTCTTACATTACAATTCTGTATACGTAAAGTGATAGAGCCAGTTTTGATGCTATATGCATGATATGCATGTATAGTGGATGATTTACGCCATGACGAGTTTTCTCTCCTTTGCCACAAGAAAGCGAAACGCGAATGGACGAAATTCTTCGTGTTATTGCTTTTTCGGATTTTTGAGGCAAAAAAGCGAAATTACGAGAGGAGGGCGAAACTACGGCACATAATATCTGTCGTATATTTGCATTCCATCTTTCGTATTTTCACTTTGCCGTCCCTTCGTGTTTTCGCATTTTGAGGCAAAGAAGCTAAAATACGGCATGGCGTAATCAGCCACCATATGCATAAAATTTGTAAGGGCAGCAAGGTAATACTACAAACTAAGTATATTGGCATTTTTATTTCGAAGAGTTCGATGTTTGTCGTATGTTTATTAGACACGATTTCGCTTAGAAATAGCTCATCGGAAAGGATGGGGCTTTTCCTTTAATGTAATATAAAAAACCAGGCTCTGGCCAAAGCATTATAATCTATAAACGCCTACACAGTGTAGTCGTTCAAGTGCGTCTGTTTCTGTGATTTATACAATAAGGTTATTATGCATAATTGTGTTCAATACTGAATGCTATTGGACAAGTACACATAAGTCAAATACAGAAAAAAAACAGAATCCATTAAGAAAGCCAAACACGACAAGTTTGAGAATGTTGCTGACTAGGTTTGATTGAGTCTGTTCATGGACGGTAGTAGTATTTGCAAGCTACCGTCCACGTCCCCTAGTACTGGCTTAAGCAGAATACAAAATTAAACATGAACTGGTAAAATTTTGAATTTCGAAACATCCGCAGAAGTGTTCATATAGCGGTTATCATGGAACCTTCAATGTAACACGTTAATGCCATTCTATGAAAGCCGCATATGATCTCCTAGCGTGTGCCCTAAATGAGAAAGCAATGGGCGAAACTAAATAAAATGGAATTTTAAAAGGGGACGAGGCACTTACTTAATAAATGTTTATCATCGGCTTAGAATATTCTTCTATATATTGTTTTTATTTTTCTTCTTCCACCGATGTTGATATATCAACAAACCTTACGCCTTGGTACTTTGTGAATGCGAACTAACTATGAGTTGGAAGGGCAGAACAACTTATTTAAGTTACAAATTTATTGACATATTCAGTGAATTGATATATTTATGATATCGCAAAGTAGTTGTTTGGATTTCGGTTGAAGCTTTCTCCCACACGAAGTTCGGTTATTTCAGGTGATTGACTGCATGTTTGGTACGCAATCTAAAATAAAGTTGTTTCGTTACTTCAAGAAATTATCCAATTTTCGTCTATTGACTTTTTGCATATGAAAATTTATCAATAATCCTTAGGAGAAAACACATAATGGAACATTCTGTCAGGTGTCTTATGCTATAAAAATCATGTAAAACAGGATCAATGTTTTACTCTTTAAAGCTGCATGCCTCTAAATGAGCCAAATCATTTCAAGAAAATCAAATTTGAGAAAAATGTTCTAAGATTTTAAGGAAAATAAATAAAAGAATTTAAGATTCAAGCAATAATTTACATGTTTTGTTTGATAAATGACTTATTTTGCATTATTCTTTTATTTCTATTGCGCCAATAACGCAGTAAGGAGTAATTTTGCATATTTGACATCTCTTGGTAATTTACGTGGATTGAAAGTCCCGTTAGAAATATCTAAATTACTTTTCTGTTCATTTCGCGTTGTTTTGCTAAATTCATTTTCAAAAATATCGTGACAATTAGCACAATTCTGAAGGCATCCTGCTTAGAATCATTTCGTTATAGATAAATCTGACGCCACTAAACGAAAGTGAGCGAATTTATACTAATACTTCCGGTCTATGCTTACCTTGAACCCATTACTTGTACATCCGAGAAATATCCCAGAGAGACTGCCAACAGATGAGTAAAGCCCATGGTCAAAGCTTGCTATAGGTGTATTATCAGGTACAGGATTCGAGCTTGCACAACTTGACATTACCTATATATAACAAAAAATAACGTTTTGGCGGTAGCTTAATATTACAAAATTTGACGACTTTTTATTACAAAATATGGCAGTTTACATTTATTTTAACTGAAAACTGAAAGTTACAAAAATTTGCCTAATAATCATAACATATATATAATTATATATATATAATAACTTGAAAGTACACGAATATAACAAATACTGATATAGGGGCCTTGTTTTCATCGAAACACTGGCGCTTTGATTAGGCTAAATATACTAAACTACGTAGGAAAACGGGGCGCTTTCAGTCAAAAAATGTTAATGGTTTAAAGATAATTATTCTGCCGAGTGTAACAGCCAATGAAAATTCGAAAACACACACATTAACACCCTGTATCCACGTGGCTGGAGTTTTCGGTACATCACATTCCGTGAGAACAAACGCTTCGTGAGATGTGTGCTGACCTTGAGAACATACTCCGGCATTTGGGTTAGAAACGGGTGTTTGATACGCCACAGCCACAATTGTTTTGATATGGTCACAACGATAAAAAACTGCTGAAGGTGTCACTAAAATATGTAAAAATAGACAACATTTTATTAATTTTACTTTTTATTTGATTCTTTTTGCTTTTTATTTAATAATGTATCCGAATTATATCCTAATTTTTACATACACATTAGCCTCAGAAGTTCATATTTTTTTAATTCTTAAGAAATGTCAAACATGTGTTTAATATACACGTCTTTAGTGTTATAACGTCTGCAGAGTCAAATATCAAGTGAAACAGTTAAAATTGAAAATGTTTTAAAGGATCTCTAAATATACCCGAATTAAATAGAAAATCGATTGTTTTTTTGCGATACTTAGAAGCACTTAAGTGAAAAGTGTTTAATTTTTGGGTAGCTTTGCACAATAAAAATGAGTATTCTGGAAAAGCGGGTTGAGGAAATGACCTGGAAATTTGCACACAAGTATTGGTCCTGACCTAATAAAATGGTACACAAATCTCGGAAAAAATATTTCCATCCCGTCAAAATAATAATAATTGTGGAATCCCTTAAAATAAACAGGTCCCTTCAATATACCATTAAGGTAATGAGTGAGTCCGAAAATTTAATTTTAAATGTGATTGAAATTTAAAGTATAACCAGTTAGCGGTGAGTTTGTTGTCGTCTGTTTGGGTATGGTCGGCATGGGTGTAGTCGACGCTTCTGAGGATGTCGGTGCTGTAACAGAACAAGTTGTTGTAGATATATTCGGTGGTTGCTTTTGACTGATAGTTTTTCAGAAACGATAAAAAAAGATAAGATCGTAAACAGAATTTTTTTTAAAATGTCTATGGATTCGTATATGTCATATATCGAATTGATGTAACACGGGTTAGATTTTTGAAAGAATCTGTAATACGTGTGTCTTATTCGACAAAATACTACGAGTCTGAGACGTTATTGGTACATTACTTATAGAGAAAGAATATGGTTCTCATATGGCACAAAAAAAAGAATATTTCACACAGTGAAACGGATCTGTTAATGTATGCATCACATTTTATGATATTTCTAATCAAAAGGTTTTTAATTTAACATCTAAGTTATTACAAACAGATTAAGAAATAGTAAGGATCATACGCCCATTTGAAATTAATGGTGAAACTCGCACTGGAATTATCAAATGGTCAAATTCTGCAAGTCTGACGAAAGGTATCGATAAGATTAAGAAACGTATTACAAGCGTTATTGTGGTTGTCTGATATCGGTACGTTCAAGATAACAAAAATGTTTAATACAATTTAGTATCCAGCTTTTTTGTCATCCAATGTATTCCTTAAAACAAATTGTGTGTAAACCGCGTTCGCAAAAAAAATAGTCTGACGTAATAATGTGAATATTAATGAAGCAAAATAAATCTTGACACTAAGTATGTCAATGTTCATAAGTAACTGTTCTACAGAAATTAGACACATTCTCCTGTCGCTATCGCTCCCGTCAAAGTTTCTAATTTCTGTGGAACGGCATGGATGAATATTAACATACTTCTACGGTATGATACCTGATATCAGATAAGGTTTCCATGAAACTTATTTGGTTGACACTTTTCCATTCGCTAGGTTTTTAAAATAAAATTCGAAAGACAAGCTATTACAATATTAATTCCCATCACGCTTAAAATAATAATTTTCTATAGAGAGAACATTTTTGTGAAGCAACACTTAATAGGGCTATTTTAATGAACGACTACTGAGAGGTGTCGGAATACGACTTAACTTTCCATCCCTGTCCTATGCGGCATTGTACAAATTTTGCGAATTCATAAAACATAATACTCATGTGTCTTGAATATGATGTCAAAATGCCGACAAGTGAACTAAGAGTAGTCAATTAACAAACATTGTTACATACTTATTTTTTCTTGGTCGCAATGGTTACCTTCCCAACCATGGTGACACTTGCAGTGATAATTCCATTTATAACCGTTTGTGTCTAGATTATATGTACAGTCTCCATTCACGCAATAAGTATTATGACAATGTGTAGAATGAGTCACTAAAAATATAAGAATATCAGAAATTCAAAAACACTATGTATCACAGAAAATATTGGACTGTAAGACTATACTACAGCATAGTTTGTCATAAGAAGATTGAATCACCATTTCAACGTCTTTGCCATAACGTGTATGACACAGAAAAAATGAAAAATTCTTAATTCTATTCCTACGTGTATGTATTTTTCATTATACGCAACATAAAATTCATAGATAAGTGTTTGTATCTCTTACCAATGTATTGATATGTACAGTAATCCCCGTGCCATCCACGATCACACTTACAATTCCAGTAATCCTGTCCATGATGTGATTGGTGTCTTGTACACGTACCATGTTCACCACAGTGATTAAGGCAATGGTCTTTTTGTCCTGAACCTGGGGCTGATTTACAGAAAGAAAAATAGAAAAATTCAAACTACATGTAAATACAACAATACATTATGTATTTAAAAAGAAATAAAAAATAACGCAATACAAAACTATCACACTCAAAAAGGGAATGCCATTAAGCATAGATAAGACGCTGCGAATCAGTCCTCAGCTAGCGTCGGAAAATGGAAAAAAGTCAAATAATGAAATCGCTTGAAGATAACTAAAAATCATGATACTGGAAATACTTATGTTGTCAATAAGGGTTCAAAAAGTAAGATTTACAACAAAAAGCTGGTTTTTCAATGACGTTTGAATGTTTCCCCTTCTTCGGTAGAAACGAGTATAACTAAGTTTACTGTTATTTTTCTTATGAAGATTTTCGAGCAAGACCAGGATATATTTATATGTAAATAACTGGAGACAAGACATCACTTCAATGTCATCATTTTTATTATACAAAGAAATAAAGCCTTTTACTCAACCGATCAGTTTATTAAACTGACAAATTTCAATATTTGTCCGTCTGTAGTCTATGCATTATTTGGATCTATCCACCCGCAAGAGCACAAAAACCAACTGTTGCAGTCGAGGACGGACCCCGGACATGTGGTGATAACTTATCTCCATGCAATGTCTACGGCGTATTAGCAAAATATATGAATTTTTGGTAGGTCACTGAACATGTACTATACTAGTGCAATTGCAAAAGTTCGACTCGATAATTATCGTTTTAATTTCCGTATGTTGTGTGTTCTTCACGCGATAAATATCGCGCTGAAGGGCGCAAATTATCGCATAACAGATTAGCGAAATTTAAACACGCGATAATTATCGCCTCTTAAGGGCGAAATTTAGATTAAATTTCCCATGTATTAAATTTCGCGATATATATCGCATGTAAAGGGCGAAATTAAGACAAAATTTCCGATGCATCTAATTTTGCTAGCCTCTCATGCGATAATCATCAGTGCCCTTTAACGCGATTAATATCGGGTAAGGAACAAACGAAAAATAAGACGATAATTATCGATTTGAGATAGGTTTTAATTTCGCTATTATAAGTGTCCCTGATCTATAGAAAGGGCGATAATTAACGCTTGAGAGACTAGTGAAATTTAAGTCATGTGAAATTTAGTACTTAATGTCGACCTTTAAAGGCGATATATTTCGTGTGTTTACTAGCGAAATTTTGTGGACGAAATAGGACACAGTAATGTACAGCGGCCGATGAGAACCTAAATATACTTTCCTTGTCGTCTCTGCGATTTTTGTTTTCTGAGTTGATCAACACTAAATACTAAATTTTGGTTATTAGATAAAATACAAATAAAGTTGCCACAGAAACTTACGGTATTGACATCTATCCCCCGACCAATTGTCGTGACAATGGCATCTCGAATGATACCAATTACCATGGTAATTGCACGCTTGGTCATAATGATTATTATTACCCGTCATGGTATCTGGTTTTGCTGTTGTTGTTGGAACTATTAAATGTATAAAGTTTAAGCTTTTTTAAAAGAAAATGTTTCAACAAAACCTTAGAATATTATGAAGATAAAAGTACAGGACACTATAATGATATATTGTAAACGTACATTTTCACCGAACTGTCACATGAACATAAATCCCAACAAATCTAAAAAAAAATATAATAATACCGGTAGCATTCTTACAAAGGCACATCCCTACAGATTGATTTAAATAATTTCTTATGATTTACATGTATATCATTTATTAAGACTTAGTGAAAATCGCACACTTTGGTTTGTTTTGGTCTTTTCATGAAAGTGGTCTGACAATGTTGAATAAACAGTATGAATAGATACACAGGAGGCCCATTATGTGTCTGCATCATGCACCGGAATATAATAAAATGTGTAAAAAAAGAATATAAATTACTTCTTAACCCATTACTGCGTGAGCATTTTGTGAAAAATGGCTGTTTTCATTGAAAAGTATCCCGTTACAAGTTCAAATTGCAATAAAAACTTCTTCAATACTAATCAAATTTGGCACAAATGTTGACTGGACATTTGCCTTTGCAACAGCATGCTCAGTCTTAAATTTCATGTTACCATGGCAACGAGGGGACGTCTTAAAATTGCCATAAATCACTATTTTGCATTGTTTTATTGCAAAACAAAATTGATTTCAAAGTGCTGCAACTTGTCAATGGATTCAGTTAGAGTCAAAGGCGTTTCAGTGTTGGTTATACGTTACCTTATGATCGACCCGGGGTCAAATTTAGCCTCTCAACCTCCTGATGTATCTTTTGGAGAGGGCGGGGGCGCCGAAAAAGTGCTCACTTTTTATCAATATTTCTCAAACATAAACATGTGTTTGGGGCCTAAACAGGACACTTTTTCACTATTTGAGGCCTAAAAGAGGGGGATCGAAAGTGCGTTGTTTCGAGTAATATGAGGTAAAGGGTTAAATTAAAACGGCACTTCTCTAGTGATTAATCGTAATCAAATTTGAAAACTAAAAAGTGCAGTCTTTGTTCGATTTAGTCTGTTTGCAACTTGAAATATAGCAGTAAATCAATTGTTAATACATTATAACATCACTGTATTGGTCACTTGAATAAGTTTGATAAGTTTTATTTGCAAAACAGTAAATTTCAAAAACGTATGGTTTAAGAATCATTGCTTATATAGAACTGATTCTTTCCATAGGACCGAACTTGTCGTACCAAGGTCTGATAATCTGTCTAAACGAATAAGTTGGAGCTATCCATTGACCTCTAAAATGGCCAACTAGGATAGTTTCTAGGATAAAGAAATTGACCATTTCCTTGCAATTGTAAAAATTTGTTCATTTATTAAAAAGAACAAGTTTTAGCTAAAGTAACCGAAAGAAGGAGTTTTAGGGACTCTAAATGTTGACGTTTGAGATTGCAGCATTTATGTGGCTGTTTTGGACTGATAGTTTTCCAGAAGTGATAAAAAGATAAGATCGTAAACAGAATGTTTTTAACAAAATGTCTATGGATTGGTATATGTCATATATCGAATTAATGTAACACGAGTTAGATTTTCGAACGAATGTGTCTTACTCGAAGAAAATAGTACGAGCCTGACACGTATTCGGTACATTACTTATGAAAAAATAATATGGTTCTCATTGGCACACAAAAAAAACAACCAGAATATTTCACACAGTGAAACGAATGAACGAAAGTGTTACAGTTAATGTATCCATCACATTTTATTATATCGGAGACAATAATATTATTTTTCTAATCAAAATATTTTTACTTCAACAGCTCAGCTATTACAAACAAGATTAAGAAAAGGTAACATTCATACGCCCATCTGAAAGTAATGGTGAAACTTGCATTGAACGTATCTGATTTTAGCAGATCAAAGTCAGATTCTGTAACTTAGACGAAAGGTATTGATAAAATTAAGAAAGTTAATGCCAGCGTTATTGTGGTTGTCGTATATCGTTGAAGATCAAGATGACAAACACGTGTAATTGTGTGTTAATTTTCATAGAAGAACAAGGCAGTCTGAAGGACAGCTAAAGCCCCTTCCGCAGTGAACATGAATGTGTACTCTTTGACATTCTGCCAACAATGAATTTGATGCTGTACCAGGCATATCATAAGCAAATTGCCTCACGATAGTGATTATTTGTGCCAGGTTATTTAAAATCTTCCACAAAGTCAAAAAGTCATGGACAACATATAACCTTGACCTTGGCGGTAGCAACCTAAATGTTGAGCTCTGCATATTTTGTCATGGTGGGGATCATTTGTGACAAGTAATTTTTTTAACATTTGAACTGCCAATAAGTTATAGAGCGGACACGAAAAATAGATGTTTTTACATATGACCTTTTAAAAAACTTTCTAGTGGTTTAAAGTTATGGAGCGGAGAATAAATGAAGACTTTTAACACTTGACCTTTAAGTGTGACCTTGAATCAATTATTGCGCTAATAATATTGAACACTTTTGTCTAGTTAATCAAAAACATTTCAGCGGTTTAAAAAAGATGGTTGGGATTTCAGAAGGGTCAGTACGAAGAAACGAGGAGTGAGCCGCATAACTTCAAGATGGATACCCCATCTATTCACCAATGAACAAAAAACAGGGAATTATTTTTAAAACAATGTTGCCAGAATTTAACCGTCGGCGTTTGAATAATGTTTTAATGGGTGACGAAACATGGGTACACTTTTTTTGAGCCAGACAGAAAGATATACAATAACATTTAGACCATCAGAAACGCTCGAATGTCAACTATTGCAAAAAAAAGTTATGGTACCAGTATGCTTCGACATCAATTGCATTTTTATTCAAGTTTCAAGGGGATGGTTTGTCTCAGGAAGGTTCTACAAACAAAAAGTTTTGAAAAAGTTGAGAAAGTCTTTCCGTAAATGTTGCCCAGCTACTGGACTCTGGAGTGTTTGTTTACTTCATTATAACGCACGGGCAGACCCCAACCAACTACTGTGAAGGGTTTTTTTGTTTTCTTTTTGGCGAAATGGAAACTGAAAATCCATCATCACCCCTTATTCTCCTGACCTTGCTCTGCCAACTTTTTTTTCTTTTCCAAGACTTTAATGAAAGCTTTCAGGTCGTAAATATATAATCCGAAGTGCCGTAGCGTCCGCTATTCATCAGTTCCTTCTACGTATCCCTCTAAGGGACTACATGTATATGAAAATGCATTTTGAATGTCACTGAAAAGGCTAAAGTTGTGTGTTTCGAACAAATGAGAACACTTTTAAGGATATAAAGTTTCTTTGTACTGTATTTATCTTTTTAATTATAATTTGAAAAAATATATTGCGCACCCCTAGTATAACGTATGTTTAATCTACGTAAAACAAACAAAAAACAGTATTTTGCTTATTAGTAAACTATTCTTTTTTATTTGATGTAACAATATCTATTTTTCGAAAAATATGTGTATTAAAATGTTCCCCAGCTTTCTTATTTCTATCCGTATTGTTTCTGTTAAAGTTGTTCCCCCTAATCTTTGGTGGAAAACTATATCATGTCATGTAAAAATATGGAAACAAAGTGATCCTTCTGAAACATTAATCACGCCAAAATTAAATGAAAATTGCAGACTCGGTTTAATTGTGTCTGTTCATGAGGGGTAATGAATAAGTGCAACAGCCCTCACGGCCCCTTAGCACGGGCTTGAGCGGTACTCAATTCTCAACACTTAATAGTACTGGAATCAATAATCCCGGAGTCTCGTATTAAATCTTTTCAGTGCGTTGGTAGGCTCTCTATTTATAATCTTTAAAAACTCTCTTATACTGCAATATTTTTTCTTTTAGTTAAGACTATACATCATTATATAAGGTAATTATTGCAATAGCTATTGAAAGCAAATTATTCAAGTATTATTCTCTTTGCTGTTTTGGCTAAGTAATGTACATGTATCGTTTTAAAAAATGAATAAAAAAGGGCTACCACTTCTGTTTTTATTCTACATATCCTATCCTTTACTTATCTTACTTAATTCACATGTATATAATTATTGACGCATTATTGTTGTTCACAGCAGCACTCAGAAAAATTCATTTGTGAAAATAATGGTTTATCACATTGTATAAAAGAGCTAAATATCCTACAAATCTGTAAGTACATATTTTATTAACTATAATAATGATATGTTATGTATAATGTACTTTAATAAATCATTAAATCCTAGGTGTATTGTTATAAATGTAAGCAAAAGAACCATTGTAACATACTTTCAGTTATAAACTGCTATAACTATAAACTATAAACTTAGCTATGAACTGTGTAAGTTTTATAATAAAAAAATGTGTAAATAACTTTGTATATAACTTATAAAAATCTCCATCATTTGGTAAAAATTGTTATTCATTATTTTTTCAGTGCCTTCCTTACATGCTCACATAACTGCACGTTTAATTTACAATCAAATGTTACAGTTGGTATACTTCATATGTAATTATAATAAACTGTAAATATATTATATGAATTCAATTTCTTAACTAGTAAGTAATCAAACCTAAATACACATGTAAAACTTTTTTTGTATTTTATAGCTACCCCTAAAAAAATACCCAAATTTTTAATAATGAGTCAAAAAAGTTTTGTGCAGTAAATGTCTTGCCTGTAGGCGCTACGTTGATATGGCATTGGTATCCTGTCCAACCATCGATACATTTACAGTGTTCGTTATTGTACATATCCCTTTCGCAGTGACCGTGGAAACATTGGTAATTTGTGCAATCCTTGGCATGGAATGAGGTCACGTGATCTGTCAGAAAATCTTGTATACAGTACAACAATCAGTGGTAATCAAAGCTATCAAAAATCACTATAAAGATAAAACAAAATCAAATGATTATGTCATAAGAATTATGTAATTATTCAAATTGATTAAAATCAGATTTCAATTCCTGGTAGTCCGCGGGATGGCGTAATAATTTGTCGAAGTTTATCAGAGATGTTATGTTCAGGTAGAGTAAAACATCGTTATGATAGAAGATGAAGAGGTAACTTAAATCGTTTGTTGCTTCTAATTGTTGTATAAAATAATTGTTTGACGTAATTGCACTGATGTGATAATTGTTCCTATATTATTTTCATTTGTCAATAGTCTTTAGTTATATAACTATTTAATATATGACAGCTTACAAATACTAGGAGGGGTACATGCTTCGTTAAATGTAGTAATATTACAGTATTATCAAAATATTATTTATGGTCCAATTAAAGTATATTTAAGCGTCATGCAAATTGCAACAAAAGTAATTTTTTACATTTTTGGTCTGTTATACACATCATATAATACTAGAAAAAAAATATAAAAATCTTACCTTGTGAAACCAGAAAAAACTATTTAAATGTTAGCATTTTTTGAGTTTTTATATGGCTCATGCTGTAACCGGTGTCGAGGTAAATAAAAGTTATAAAGCCTCAAGATTTAAATATATCAAAATAAACACATTTACTACCTGGCGTTGGATAAAGAAGCTGTCGTGCGAAGTATGTATAATATTTCACATTGTATTTACGTATTTCAACAACTTTTAGTATAGGTTAAAGTTTATTAGTACGTATTTACAGAAATAAATTGGTCAGGCACGGCGCAGCCACTAACATATACATAGTGTCATTAAAAAGGGCAATTTTTTCTTGTTATTTTTTTTTTTGAAAACCGACTTTGTAATAGAGAACGCAGTGTCCCATACATAGTTTATTCATTCTTTTATTCAAATTAGTACGTTGGCACAAAAGTGACATGTGAGTGTTTTTATTTATCTCGTGCGCACGAGATACTATGTTGTGACCACGAGGTACTAAGTCGTGATCTGATTGGTTAATTATCTCGTGCGCACGACTTAGCTATCTCATTACAACGACATAGTATATCGTGGCTACACCATGGTATCTCGTTCCCACGACTTAATTTTCTGGTACCCACGACTAAGTAAATCGTGGCCACGACATAGTATCTCGTTCCAACGACATAGTGTCTCGTTACCACGACTTATTTATCTCGTGCCCACAACTTAGTTACTCGTGGCCATAACTTAGTTACTCGTTTCCACGACTTATTAATCGCGTGCCCACGACTTAGTTCTTCGTGACCACGACAAAGTATCTCGTTCCCACGACTTTACTATCTCGTGGCCACACCTTAGTAACTCGTGACCACGACATTGTATCTCGTGCGCACGAGATAAATGAAAACACACACATGTCACCTTTGTGCCACCGTAAATTAGTCATATTCAGTAAGACTTTTATAGATTTCAATAAATTTCCGTGATGAAAATATTTTACTCGAGGGCGAGCATAGTATATTAAGAGAACACGATGTTCCATTTATGCAATGTTCGCTAAATGTCACAGCAGTGCGATATTTAGACGATTTTACAGCAATCGCCACCTTCGGCTCCTTCCGTCAATCTTCGGATAAGGATGAATAATAGCCGAGGACGTTCCGAATGAAATTTACTATTCCATGTCTTACCTGGTTGATCACAATGTTCACCATGCCAACCGTGATGACAGGTACAACTATGATGGGTCTCAACTCCGTTTATTGTTGTATACTGACAGGATCCATGTGTGCAGTAATACAGTCCACAGTGTGACCCTCCACCTTTTATTTACAACAAAGCAAAATTGAATATTTATCAAACTTTTAAGGAGATAAAACATAAATAAGCATCTATGAATATTCTACGAACATCCTGATAAAATAGTTTCCTATTTGCCAATATCTATTTCTCTTCACTAAACTTAAGCTTGGAGTCTTAAACCAGTTGAAATAGAAATTTGATAACGTTTATGGGGGTCAATTTATGAAAATCGGCAAAATTATAAAAAAAAAACACCAAAAACAAGTCGATTCTTAAACGACACTTAAATATCAAAGTACTTAGAGTACTATCGGACAACGAAGATGAAAATGATTGTGTCGACACGCACACGTAACAATCACAGAATATACAGAATTTATTTTAGTTCGATTGTGTAGGAAACTATAAGCTTGAAGACACACTTTTGAATCCGTTCCTGGAACCAACCAGTACTGAGCAATGACTGTAAAGTTTCTGGCTCAAGGAAACAACGACTTGCCCTTGACGGGGTTTGAACCCATGCGGCTTGCGATCATTAGATTACTAGTCCTGATCCATCAAAAGTCACGTGTTAGCATTACCCTCAATTCGCATTATTTCTGATTATTGATATCTAGCTAAGTGTTTGTACATAGATTTTTGAATAAAGTTGAATATCTTCACGAATTCATGATTTTAACCACATGAATTCACGATTTCAACTTCACGAATTCACGATTTCAACTTCACGAATTCACGATTCCAATTTCATGTATTCATCACTAGCAAGTTTATGAAGGATTCTTTCATTTGACTCCAAAATTATTAAAATTGATCAAGAAATAAAATAAGAGGGCTATGATGGCCCTGATGTCGCTCACCTGTATAAAGGCACCCGGAGCGGGGCCAGTTTTAACCCCATGGCTTTTATTTGAACAAACTTGGAAGACAACCATTAGAAGATGTTTCACGATGTTAAGTTTTTACTACACACATATAATGAAAAACAAAGATCTACCTCTTTTATTGAAACAAACTTGGTAGACACCCATAAGAAGATGTTTCATGCTAAACATCTAAGCTCTAGCTCATTTGTTTTTTTTAAAAGAAGATTTTTTAAGTTTTTACTATACACATATACTTAAAACCAATGACACCCCTGGGGCTGGGCCAATTTTGACCCCAGGGCTTTTATTTGAACAGACTTTGTAGACAATTACTATAAGACGTTTCATGCTTCATATCTAAATTCTAGCTATTTGGGTTTTTTCAAAGAAGATTTCTAAGTTTTTGCTATACAAATATAAGGAAAATCAATAACACCCGGTGCGGGGCCCATCTTGACTCCAGAGTTTATTTGAACAAACTTTGTAGACACTCACTAGAAGATGTTTCATGCTTTATATCTAAACTCTAGCTATTTTGGTTTTTTCAAATAAGATTTTTTTAAGTTTTTGCTCTATACATACAAATGTATAAGGAAAATCAATGACCCCAGGGGTGGGGCCAATTTTGACCCTAGGACTTTTATTTGAACAAACTTGGTAGACACTCACTATAAGATGTTTCATGCTAAATATCTTAGCTCTAGCTCTTTGAGTTCTTTAAAAGAAGATTTTTTTAGTTTTTAATATATGCACATAGGGAAAATCAATGACCCCCTGGGGCGGGACCAATGTTGACCCAAGGGCTTTTATTTGAACAAGGGCTTTTTTTGACAAACTTGGTAGACACTCATTAGAAGATGTTTCATGCTAAATATCTTAGCTCTAGCTCTTTGAGTTCTTTCAAAGAAGATTTTTTAAGTTTTTACTATACACATATAGTCAAAACCAATGACACCCCTGGGGCGGGGCCAATTTTGACCCCAGGGCTTTTATTTGAACAAACTTTGTAGACAATTACTAGAAGATGTTTCATGCTTAATATCTAAACTCTAGCTATTTGGGTTTTTTCAAAGAAGATTTTTAAGTTTTTGCTATACAAATATAAGGAAAATCAATAACACCCGGTGCGGGGCCAATTTTGACTCCAGGGCTTTTATTTGAACAAACTTTGTAGACACTCACTAGAAGATGTTTCATGCTTAATATCTAAACTCTAGCTATTTTGGTTTTTTCAAAGAAGATTTTTTAAGTTTTTGCTATATACATATAAGGAAAATCAATGACCCCCGGGGCGGGGCCAATTTTGACCCCAGGGCTTTTATTTGAACAAACTTGGTAGACACCAATTAGAACATGTTTCATGCTAAATATCTTAGCTCTAGCTCTTTGAGTTCTTTAAAAGAAGATTTTTTAAGTTTTTACTATATGCATATAGGGAAAATCAAAGACCCCCTGGGGCGGGGCCAATTTTGACCCCAGGGCTTTTATTTGAACAAACTTGGTAGACACCAATTAGAACATGTTTCATGCTAAATATCTTAGCTCTAGCTCTTTGAGTTCTTTAAAAGAAGATTTTTTAAGTTTTTACTATATGCATATAGGGAGAATCAAAGACCCCCTGGGGCGGGGCCAATTTTGACCCAAGGGCTTTTATTTGAACAAACTTGGTAGACACTCACTAGAAGATGTTTCATGCTAAATATCTAAACTCTAGCTATTTGGGTTTGATCAAAGAAGATTTTTTAAGTTTTTGCTATACACATATAAGGAAAATCAATGACCCCCCCCCCCCGGGGCGGGGCCAATTTTGACCCCAGGGCTTTTATTTGAACAAACTTGGTAGACACCCATTAGAACATGTTTCATGCTAAAGATCTTAGCTCAAGCTCTTTGAGTTCTTTAAAAGAAGATTTTTAAGTTTTTACTTTATGCATATAGGGAAAATCAATGACCCCCTGGAGCGGGAACAATTTTGACCCCAGGGCTTTTATTTGAACAAACTTGGTAGACACTCATAAGCAGATGTTTAATGCTGAATATCTTAGCTCTAGCTCTTTGGGTTCTTTAAAAGAAGATATTTTAAGTTTTTACTATATGCATATAGGGAAAATCAAAGACCCCCTGGGGCGGGGCCAATTTTAACCCTAGGGCTTTTATTTGAACAAACTTGGTAGACACTCATTAGAAGATGTTTCGTGCCAAATATCTAAGCTCTAGCTCTTAGGGTTTTTTAAAAGAAGATATTTTAAGTTTTTTTATTCGGTTGCCATGGCAACCAGAATTCTGCATGGAATTAAATTCTTTGAACAATTTTTAAAGGTGACCACCAAAGAAACATTCCTGTGAAGTTTGGATGAAATTGGCTAAGTGGTTTATGAGGAGATGTCATTTAAAGTAAAAGATTACGGACGGACGGACGGACGACGGACGGACGCCGGACGAAAAGCGATCACAAAAGCTCTCCCTGTCACTTTGTGACAGGTGAGCTAAAAACTAAGTAGGGGGGCTCCGTGTTTTTCATACTGTGGTTTTAAGAAAGTAACATGATAAACTTTGAAACAAAAATTTTAATATTTTCCCTCAATTCATTTTTATTTTAAGTCATTACATAATTATAGACTATAAAACTTATGAAGCACCCTTTTATTTCAATCCAAAGTTATCAAAATTGATTATGAAATTAAAAAAAAAACTTTGGAGGGGAACGCCATGTTTTACTTACCGAATTTGAGAGGAAAACTTATAAATTTTGAACCAAAAGTTTAGTACATCTATTTAATTCATTTTAATTTCTGGGGCATTAAAAAAAGTTAGAAGGAACGCCGTGTTTTCCTTCACTTTATTGAGAAAAATGGGTGAGGCGCCGGGTTTTATACCAGTCCGTAACAGAAGTTCGTAATTACTCAAAGAGGGGCAGGGCGTGATGCATGACTTAAAATCGTTTAACTTTGTGAATCTACTTTTGTCATTTTAAACATGTTACTGAGTTAACGTACTCTTGTAGTTCTACGACTGGAAACACGTTTTTTTTAAACTCTATTTTCTGTATTTCTATTTTCTGTATTCGTGTTTTACATTTCGTTTGTATATATCATGTACAGATATATATCTATAAGTGTGCAAACTTGCTTATATATTATATGCAATGGAAGATATGAGCTGGTAAATTTGTTTGTTGTATTCCGTGTAAAGTTAGTTGTTAAGATCTACATGTAAACTTGTTATCTAAAATCGGGTGCCTACAATTAAAAAATTGGATTAAAAGACATATTATTTGCTGTGCACGAATACAATAAAAAATGTTAGACATACACGTTCGCATTTTCAAAAGTAGTTTTCAAAATAAACACTTTACATGTCTAGAATTTTGGCAACGAACGCCCTCCATTTTAAACCTCATCAAAATAATTTCCATGGTAATGTTTTTTTTTTCAATATCATTCGTGAAAATGACTAGCGTATTGATGGCGGTTTTTAGTTTCGTTGATATACAATAACGTACATTTTTATATTCGGTGTACCTGAGACATTTTCCAATCTACTGTTGTCATATTACATTTAATTTAGCAGATAAAACGTAATTGAAACCATTTTTACGAAGTAATGCCGAATTCGTGAATGAAGCACTGAAGCAACGGCGGTTATCTTATTAAAAGAAGCTAAATCCTATTTTACCAGCTTCCTTCTATTGTTGTACGGCATTTGTAGTTTGACAAATGTCTTGGGTATACAGAATATGAAAAAAAAAGTTTTAAATGTGTTAAGGTACATATTTATTTGACAAAACACAAAAGACACCTTCAAAATGGTAATCAGGTTGTCTTTATCACGAATGATCTAAGAAAGTAAACAAATTCCTGACAAAAATGTAATGCTGGTTAAAGTATGATGTAGTAGCAGCCGTATGCGCTAATTATTTTCTTTAAATTTGATTAATAATAAAATATTTTGGTTTGTTTACTTACTGTTTTATTCGTTTTGACAATAGTGTTGCACAAATTCAGCGTTTTTTACGATAATTGCACATTCCTGATTTACTGGATATGCACGGTGGCAATAGTATTGACAATTTAATATCACCAATTTTGATGACACCAATATTAAAAGTTATTTACTTCTTGAACTAAGTCGTTCACGAAAATAGATCAAAGCACAGAAGGCGCTGAATTTGTTTGGGTCTCAGAATGTCAGAATGGTAAAGGTTGTGAGATTATAAACCAATTTGTATTTGTATAGTGCCACCAATGCTTTCCAGCGTTTTTATTGTAGTTAATTGGCTAAAAGACTAATTGCAACACACATATTCAATCCAATGTTTATTTGACTTAAACAATTTGGAAAGAAATGTGTTGCCTTAACTAGGATTTGAACTCCAGACCTCTCGCTTCCTAAGCGAGCGCGCAAACCCCTCGGCCACGGTAAATTTATATGTTAACGGATGGAAGAAAACCATTTTATTCTAAATTAGGGTTTGTAACGACGCTAAATATAAAGAATAAAAATTATTACAGGAAAAATATTAAATATTAGAAATCTTCGACCATTCGAGAATTATTTTGCTTGAAAATTAATGCGCCTGTCATTTGACCATCTCTACGCAGTGATCTCCCCTGAATTTTTCGGCGTTTGTGAACATATAAAGGGAAGTAACCGCTTTAAAAAAGCGGACTACTTTCGGCATTTGCAATTAACAGCATTAGAGTCTGAAATTTCGCTACCATTATTTGTTGGGTCTGACGACCCAAACAAATAAAAGCCAGAAATGTGTCCATATGACACGGATGCCCCACACGCCACTGTTCTGTCAATCTTATGACACTAGGTCACTAGGTCAAATATCTTTTGGACTGCATGTGCCACAAGTTGAAAACTAAAAATCTTTTACTAAGAAAAGGGCAAGAACTTAACAAATACTGAATAAATCCACAAGCAAACCTCAAGGTGCATAAGTACACATGCTGACCAACATTCTTGTAAACTTTCAGGCCTACAAGTCAAATACGTTTTGAGCTATGCATGAACAAGTGGTAAAATTGGAAATTTGTACTACTGTAAGTCAAGGGCAATAACTCTAACAAAACTGAAAAAAGTCCAATGTGCATAGCTTCACAGTGATGTTGATCATTATTCCTGTAATTTAGTGATGTTGATCATTATTCCTGTAAAGTTGGTTGATTCTAACTCAAGCACTCAAGAAACAAATAACACAACATAATGAAACGGTTTTTACTAAGTCACGGGCAATAACTCTACAAATACTGGATAAATTCACAAGCAAAACCCAATGTGCACAACAACACACGCTGAGCAAAATTCCCGTAAGATTTCATGATTCTATGTCAAATCCGTGTTGAGTTACATGCGACACAAGTTGAAAATTTCAAAATTTTATTAAGTCAAGGGCAATAACTCAAAAAATACTACATAAATCTATATGAAAATACCCAGGTGAACAACTACACATGTTGATCAATATTCCTGTAAAGTTTAATGACTCTAAGTCAAATCCTTTTTGAGTGTCATGCGACACAAGTTGAAAATTGCAAATTTTTACTAAGTCAAGGGCAATAACTCTAAAAATACTAAATAAATCCAGACAAAAATACCAAGGTGCACAACTTCACATGCTGATCAACATTCCTGTAAAGTTTCATGACTCTATATCAAATCCTTTTTGAGTTACGTGCGAAACAAATTAAAAATTGCACGAAAATACCCAGGTGCACAACTACACAATGCTGATCAATATTCCTGTAAAGTTTCATGATTCTAGGTCAAATACGTTTTGAGTTACGTGCGACACAAGTTGAAAATTGCATATTTTTACCAAGTCAAGGGCCATTACTCTAAAAATTCTGAATAAATCCAGACAAAAATACCAAGGTGCAAAACTGCACATGCTGATCATCATTCCTGTTAAGGTTCATGACTCTAGGTCAAATACTTTTTGAGTTACGTGCGACACAAAAGAAAACGGACGGATGGACGGAAGGACGGACGAATGGACGGACGGACAGGGGTTAATCTAAATCCCCCCCCTAAAATGGAGGCACACAAATTGTATGTGACAAATTATCTTTCTTTCGACAATATGATACATAGACAATTCGAATAAAATAGGCACAACCCTTTATGTAATAAATAGATTCACTGCTATAAAATTTGGATAAATTAAGATGAACAAGAATTTGTAACAGAGTTACCAACGTCCCCCGCCTCAAGGAAGTTTTAAATGAAGCATAAAATTGTGCTATTTCAAAAGATTAAGGTATGGATCTCAGGACTTTCAGTCAAAAATTATGATCAATGCTAGATCTGCAAATGCAACAATAATTTTTTTAAAGAAATAAAATGAAACACGAATTTAACCTCTGGTTGTGACATTGACATTGGAGGTAGGAGTGAAGGTGTTGTGCATAACATATCGTCTTATTATTGTATCTATTTGTGTCAAGTATTTTCAAAATCCTTTGAACTATGAAGAAATTATAGATCGGACACAAAATATACCCTATAACAGACTATGTAAATCTTTGACCTCTAAGTGTGACCTTGACCTTGGAGGTAGGGACACAGGTGTTACGCATGACATTTCATCTGATCACTGTGTCTATTTGTGCCAAGTATTTTCAAAATACCTTGATCTATGAATAAGTTATGGACAGGACACAAAATATACCATATAACAGACTCTTTGACCTTTAAGTGTGACCTTGATCTTGGAGGTAGGGGTGCAGGTGTTGCACTTGACATACAGTTTTATTATTGTGACTATTTGTGCAAAGTATTTTTAAAATCCCTTGACCTATGAAGACGTTCTAGATCGGACACAAAATATACCCTATAACAGACTATGTTAATTTTTCTCCTCTAAGTGTGACCTTGGCCTTAGAGGTAGGGATGCAGGTGTTGCAAATGACACATCGTCTTTTTATAAAGACTATTTGTGCCAAGTATTTTCAAAATCCTTTGATTTATGAAAAAGTTATGGACTGAACACAAAACATACCCTATAACAGACTATGTTAATCTTTGACCTCCAAGTGTGACCTTGACCTTGGAGGTAGGTGACCGGTTGTTTCGCATGACACATCGTCTCATTATTGTTAACAATTATGGCAAATATTTACAAAATCCCTTCAAAGATAAGAAAGTTATGGACCGGACACGACATAAACCCTCAAATAGACAATGTTGACGTTGAATGAGCAAGTGCAACCTTGACCCTTAAGGTAGGGGTCTGGTTGTTGCGCAGGACACATCGTCTTATTATCACAAACATTTGTGCCAAGTTATTTCAAATTTCTTTGATAAATGACAAAGTTATGGACCGGACACGAAAATGTGACGGATGGCAGGACAGACGGACGGACGGACAGACGAATTTCTATATTTCTTTTCTATTTCTTTATTTATATATCCCCCTTTTTCTTCGAAAAGGCGGAAAATGTTTATTTGCTATAAGGGTCATAATTCTTATAGATAATAATTTAGTTGCAAACTAGAATTAATTCCCTTATTTGAAATTCCTAGTTATAGTTTTTCGAGTATTTTTTTTCGCCGAAACCTTTACATATCTCTAGGGCCATACTTGCTATTTATAATGAGAAGACACTGTGCACCTAACATGAATTCGTACAGCGTTCATAAATGTTATTTTAGTCAGTTACCAGCAAAGGGTTTGCATGCAAGTTTCACTGCCAATTACGACGTTCCCTTGAAACATCATGAATGCTTAAATCAGCATTAATTAGCTCATTTGTCATTTTGGAGAGGTTCTGAATCTTTTACATAATAATACTGTTGTACAAAGTAATTTCAGGTACACGTATTCATCGTGATTTGATTTTTATTAGCAAAATGTTACAGTACGCCCCCTTGACCAATGTAATGACTTTTTACCTGGTGCATGCGTGCTGTTGGGAAGTGCGCTGTTGATAAATCTTCTATCCTTATCTAAAACAAGAAATCGCGGTCAAATGTAAAATGATTTTAGTAGATTATTTAAAGATATACTATGCTCTTCCTTGAGTAAAATATTTTAATCACATAATTTTTTTTATTTTATATTTTTTTTTGGAAATCCATTCCATGAAATTTTAACTTAACTGCATACTTTTAACTTGAATGAGCAATCTATGTACAGGAGCCTGAATTGAAACAAAAAGTATGTATCTATTTAAATATGCTATACCTAAACTATCAAAAATAGAACATTTTTTCAGTCTGTAGTGCATATATCACATTTGTTTGATTGCTTTTAACTCGCATAAACACAGTATAGGCATATGGCGACTTTTGAGCTTTACAAATGAAGGAAAACCTCAGGTACCCTTCCTTTCATTATTTCAGAGTTGAACCACCGACGTTCCGTAACCTAGCTAGATACCTTCCGAACATGAAATAGTCCCTGTCGGGATTCGAACCCAGCAAAGAGCTGCAAATGGTTTGAAGTCAACGATTTAAAACACTCGGCCAATGACGTCCTATAGCATCATATATCATATAATACCAATTTTCAGCACCATTAAACACATATTCCAACCCAACCTATAGCATTATATACCATTTAATACCAATTTGCAGCACAATTAAACACATATTCCAACCCAACCTATAGCATTATATACCATTTAACACCAATTTTCAGCACCATTTAACACATATTCCAACCAGACCTATATCATTATATACCATATAACACCAATTTGCAGTACGATTTAACACATATTCCAACTAGACCTATAGCATCATATACCATATAATAACAATTTGAAGCACCATAAAGCACATATTCCAACAAGACCTATAGCATCATTCCAAATAATACCAATTTGCAGCACCATTAAGCACATCTTCAAGCCCAACTTGAAGCAAAATATAGCATACCAATTTGAAGTATTGTGAATCACACAGAGCAATATTTTGTACAATAAAACTCAATAGAATCATGCCATATCTAGCGTTGTAGCGCATAATTGTAGATAATTCATCACCTTACTTTGATTGTTTTTTTTTTAAAATATACCAACATCTTATACATACTCAAAATAATGTTGCTTTAAGCACGAACTTTGACAATTTTAGTGTGTGATTAAAGCAAACAAATTTATTATTTATCTAACATAACGAACGAGAAGGGTTTTTGTCACATAACATATGTCTCCCAAAACTGTGTATGGTCACTCATGTGAAGTTTCATTGAAATCCCACCAGTACCTTGACCTGTGAAAGCCGGACAAGATTTTTCTATTTATAGCTCTAACGGCCATTTTGTGCAGCATAGCGGAACATGCCGATATTGTGCACAACTAGGGATGGTACTGATCATTCATGTAAAGTTTGGTTTTAAATCCCACCAGTAGTTTGATCTGTGAAGGCCGAACAAGAATTTTCTATTTTTAGCTCTGGCGGCTATTTTATGCAGCGAAGCGATACGTGCCGATGATATACTCGACTTGGGATGGTACTGAATGCTCCTGTAAAGTTTGGTTGAAATCCCATCAGTAGTTTGACCTGTGAAAGCCGGACAAGTATGTTCTTTTTTTAGTTCGGACGGCCATTTTGTGCAGCGAAGAAGAACGTGCCGGTGCTGAGCACAACATGGGATGGTACTGATCACTTCTGTAAAGTTTGGTTGAAATCCCATCAGAAGTTTGGACATTTTTTTATTTTTAGCTCTGACGGCCATTTTGTGTAGCCAAGCGGAACATGCCGGCTATGTGCTCAACTAGGAATGGTACTGATTACTCTAGTAAAGTTTGGTCAAAATCCCACCAGTAGTTTGATCTGTGAAGGCCGGACAAGATTTTTCTATTTTAAGCTCTTGCGGTCATTTCGTACACCGAAGCGGAACGTGCCGGTTATGTGCACAACAAGGGATGGTACTGATCACTTCTGTAAAGTTTGGTTGAAATCCCACCAATAGTTTGACCTGTGAAGGCCGTTCAAGATTTTTCTATTTTTAGCTTTCGTTGCCATTTTGTACACCGAAGCAGAACGTGCCGGTGATGAGCACAACATGGGATGGTACTGATCACTTCTGTAAAGTTTGGTTGAAATCCCATCAGTAGTTGGAACATTTTTTTTTATTTTTAGCTCTGACGGCCATTTTGTGTAGCCAAGCGGAACGTGCCGGTGATGAGCACAACTTGGAATGGTACTGATTACTCTTGTAAAGTTTGGTCCAAATCGCACCAGTAGTTTGATATGTGAAGGCCGGACAAGATTTTTCTATTTTAAGCTCTTGCGGCCATTTTGTACACCAAAGCGGAACGTGCCGGTATTGTGCACAAATAGGGATGGTACTTATCACTCCTATAAAGTTTAGTTGAAATCCCACTATTTGTTTGACCTTTGAAGGTTAGACAAATTCTTTTCTATTTTTAGCTCTGGCGGCCATTTTGTGCCGCGAAGCTGAACGTGCCAGTGATGTGCAATACTAGGGATGGTACTGATCACTCCTGTAATGTTTGGTTGAAATCCCACAAGTAGTTTGACCTGTGAAGGGCGGACAAGCTTAAAGCGGACGGACGGACAACGGACGGACAACCAGACGGATGACGTTCTAACGGGACAGTAATAATGTGGCTACTATATTATTTCCTCTACTGTTCTTTTTAGCCACACAAAAGAAAATAACCACATAAAAGCAATACGGAATGAATGGCATCAAAGAGAAAGAACAGATACCTATATTGTCCCTCTAGCCACATTATTAATGTCCCGTGAGAGTGGACAGACGGACAGACAGACAGACGGCGAAGGCAAAAACAATATGTCACCCAAAAATTTTGGGAGACATAATAACATAAAGGATAACATAACATATATTTCAAAAAAAAGTTGTATATATACACTTTATAGACATAAATATTATAGTTCAAATGTAATGCGGTGCAAAGTGTTATAAAATACAGTAAGTTAGTTGAGTTAAATAATGACTTACCGACCTCTGTTCCTTCAACCAAACATAAGTAGCCAAACGCAGCTGTCACTACTAAAACTGCTGCAAACAATATAATACATAGATGTGACACAAATTGGGTATATATCGTGGCAATAATGCAATTTAATGCATTCGATGTGATTCAATACAAGAACAAGAAGTGCCGCAATGCGACAAAACCAGGTTTTACACGACCAAGTATTGATGTGACTGGAATTAGAAATGAAATACGGAAATGGAGAAAAAATGCTGTAATTTGTACCAACACAGAAAGTTGGTTCAAAAAGTTCAAAATGAAAATATACCAGTTACCAGAGTTACAGTTACAGTAACTGGTTACAGTTTACACATTTCATTGATGCAATAATCGTAAGTATGCAAAATATCAACCGAGGGTGTCTTTTCTCAAGAATGTTACATGCGTCCAAACTAGCCCAGTCGAAGTGTAAACGCTGCTGTTGTATGAGAAATATATTTATTTTTGACGCTGCCTATGATGACGGAAAATGCTCCAAAAGTGGCTAACATTCTGACAGAAAATCAAGCTCACTACTTATTTTTAAAAAAATCGTATCGTACCTTTATCCACATTTGAGACTTTACACTATCATTTGTAAAATAAATCTTGACAAAAAAGATGTTAATATCCGAAAAGCTTTTTATAGACACACAGTTTCAGGACAAAACAAGATTCAGTACGACCATTTTTTCCTATGTTTTGTAAGTAAGCCTAATCTATCACGTCACTTTCTGTTGAGTTCAGAGACCTAAAGTTATTCTTTACCTTTTCATGTAATGTGAAATGGCATTGAATCTGACCTAGTTCTATTTGAAGTAACGTTAAATGTGTGTCATTAAAACTGTATCTTCGTTGTACCTATCGCACTGATAAATTTTCCATCTTAAATGATGTTGTAATTTCATTTCGCTTTTGTAAGAAAATAGTAACGGGTTGTGTTATGACAGGAATGTCGATGGAAAATTGTTTAATCAAGTTGAAGAATTCAAAATATGATGGAATATAACATAATATGCAAGAAAAAAATATCTGACACAAGTTCGTGGCTCGGATCGGAATATCCGTCCCTTGGGAATCCGCAATATATGACAGATATTATTATTCTAGCAGTAAACAGTAGATAATCCTCTCTGATACGCAAGAATGTAAATTCTACAAGTATAAGACTAAAAAAAAGTGAAATTGATACAAATGTATTGAACAATTAAGTTAAAAAGAAAGTTTAATTGAATTAAATCTATTGAAATATTGTTACCTGAGAGGCAACTTGGCCACATCCTGATAAAAATGTTTATAATAAGATTTCTTTTCGAAATTCACGATTAATTCTATATAGATAAAGACACTATGATGTAATTGACATCTAAAGTCAACATTAGATAAGCCGGTGTAATATTAAATTTTGACTATGTTGAAAATTGCCCCATGTGCCATTTTTTATTATAAAGAACTGAACCTGTGTCATTTTTCAACGCTGGAAATTGACCCTGCTAACAATTCATTCAATAAATTTTGATCAAATGTCGTTGAGAAATGATCAATTGTAAAAATTGGTCAACTTAAGGTCATGTTTAACGATAATTTAATTTTAGTTAAACGTTTATTAGAAATAAGAAAAATTAGAAACGCTTAGAAAAACAGAATCTCTCACAGGCGTCATAAAAATGAAGTAAAAACAAATAAATTACATTGAAACATTCAATAAATTCATATATTTATGATATTGCAGTGTAGTTGCTTGGATTTCGGCCCAGGCGAAGTTTGGTTATTTCATATAACTGTCCACATTTTTGGAATGCAATATTAAAGATAAATCAAAATTATTTTAATGCCTTAATTTTTTCTCTTTGTTTATAAAGATTCCGTATAGTGATTTATTTGAAATAAAAATTATGATAGTGTTCCTTCATCAAAGTAGAGAAAAAAACTGTTTGTTTTTTTAATAGTCATCTCGATGTAACACATAAAAGCGTTACAGATTGGGAAAATTTTGTCAGCAGTTTCCGTGTGCTTTAAAATCAAGTAATAGTATCTATGTCCAGGATCTAAACATCTTTAATGATTCTTACGTAATTTGACTAAAGTGCAAAAGTGAGCGAATGTGTACAAACTTTCGGTCTATGCTTACCTTGAACCTATTACTTGTACACCGAGAAATAGCTAGCTATATATATATAGGTGTAATATCATATAAAGGATTTGAGCTTGCACAACTTGACATTACCTAAACATAACAAAAATAACGTTTTGACATAAGCGAATGTTTAACAAAGCGAATTCAAACTTACAGTGTGAGTCTTAATTTGTGAAAATAATTGCTCGCAGTTGCGACTTTATGGAACCTGTACAGCTTTACACATGGACGAACCCATATGCCCCTGTTAGCATTATTTCAGGCTCGAACGGTCATTTGAATATAATTGCCGACGCTGAAAATGAATAAGATAAAAAATCGAGATATGTAATTAAAAACATACATTAACATCCTGTGTCCACGTGGCTGGAGATTTCGGTACATCACTTTCCGTGAGAACAAACGCTTCATGAGATTTAAACTGTTGCACATTATATGGCATTAGTGTAAAACAAGAGGGCCATGATGGCCCTGAGGTCGCTCACCTGTATAAAGGCCCCCCAACCCCCACCACCCCCCCCCACCAACGTTGCAGGGCTAATTTAACCCAAGGGCTTTTATTTGAACAAACTTTGTAGACACTTACTAGAAGATGTTTCATGCTTAATATCTAAACTCTAGCTATTTGGGTTTTTTCAAAGAAGATTTTAAGTTTTTTGCTATACACATATAAAGAAAATCAATGACCCCCGGGGCGGGGCCAATTTTGACCCCAGGTCTTTTATTTGAACAAACTTTGTAGACACTCACTAAAAGATGTTTCATGCTTAATATCTTAACTCTAGGTATTTGGGTTTTTTCAAAGAAGATTTTTTAAGTTTTTGCTATACACATATAAGGACAATCAATGACCCCCGGGGCGGTGCCAATTTTGACCCCAGGGCTTTTATTTGAACAAACTTGGTAGACACCTATTAGAACATGTTTAATACTAAATATCTTAGCCATATCTCTTTGAGTTCTTTAAAAGAAGATTTTTTAAGTTTTTACTATATGCATATACGGAAAATCAATGACCCCCCGGGGCGGGGCCAATTTTGACCCAAGGGCTTTTATTTGAACAAACTTGGTAGACACTTATTAGAACATGTTTCATGCTAAATATCTTAGCTCTAGCTCTTTGGGTTCTTTAAAAGAAGATTTTTTAAGTTTTTACTATATGCATATAGGGAAAATCAATGACCCCCTGGGGCAGGGCCAATTTTGACCCCAGAGCTTTTATTTGAACTAACTTGGTAGACACTCACTAGAAGATGTTTCATGCCAAATATCTAAGCTCTAGCTTTTATCGTTTTTTAAAAGAAGTTATTTAAAGTTTTTTCTTTCGGTTGCCATGGCAACCAGAGTTCTGCATGGAATTAAATTCTTTGAACAATTTTTAAAGGTGACCACCAAAGGAACATTCCTGTGAAGTTTGGACGAAATTGGCTTAGTGGTTTATGAGGAGATGTCATTTAAAGTAAAAGTTTACGGACGGACGACGGACGGACGGACGACGGACGGACGCCGGACGAAAAGTGATCACAAAAGCTCACCCTGTCACTTTGTGACAGGTGAGCTAAAATGGTTAATACCTTAAACCCATGATGGTTTGGAGGTGGTAACAGAGATGGAAGATTGTCGGGCTTAAATACATCACAAGAGAATACATGTATTGCATCAATAAAACTTAATATTGTTTGGTGGATATTTTATGTGGTCTTTTAAATACCTAGGTGCACTATTGTTGCGTATCTTATGTACTTGACCACGGATAAGGTACTTCACCCTCAAATGCACTGGTAACCAACAACTTCCTCAAACTGAGCCCTCCCTATATGAGTTCAGTATAAATCGCACCATCTTATTCTGTCTGGCCTGAAGTATATTTTTTTCAGATTTTGACTCAACTCAAAATACAAGGAAGCAAACGCATAAACGAAATGTCATTGTATTAAAGCTGTTTAGTATATATATTCACAAATGTAATTTTTCTATATAAAAATGGCTTTCTTAATTACCTGACTGGCTATAGATTCAATATAGAAAGTTTAATATAATTGTCCTTGAAATATAGATAGCCATAATTCAAGAACCATGAAAGAAAAAAATCTTAAATATGATGGGCGGGATTATGTGCATATTGGCTGTTCCATTCTTTAAACTTACTAACCTTAATTTGTCTTGTAAAATTTACATCAAATCTAATCGAGTAAAGCTAAAACTTTCACTTTCTAAAGAGTATGTTTCCATAGTGGTATTTGTAAAATAATAAAGTATAGTTTACATAAAATAAAATGATATATTTTTCATTCAGTCTCACGATATAAAGTAAAATGTTAGTAAATGTTATTGAGATTAAATGGATTGGTTGTACACAATGTGCAAGAACTACATGTATTACAATACCATTTTTTTAATTTTTGTAAAATCATTTATCACATTAAATTTAAAACTAAATCATATATAAATAATGTTATTTATTTGTTGACTGGAACATTATACCTTTGTATCATCAATTTATTTTATTTATTATTTCTAGAATTCAAACTTAATTTCAAATTTGAAAGAAAATCAGTGGAGCTCTTCTCTCAGACACTTTTTCTTCTATTTTCTTAATGCCAGCTCTATTATGAATATTTCCAATTGATTAAGTGTTAAGAAATATGTTTTTTATTCAAACTATAAGTTACATTTATGATTTTAACACTAAATATTGATTCAAATAATTCAAATATTGCCCAACATCTTTTTATTGTTTAACTTTTATAACGACCGAACATGCTTGATGTATGCAGTGTCAGGTTATGGGCGCCTATAGAGGAATTCAAATTCACTTTAATAATTTTTTTCGCATTAATTCCACATTTACTAAACTGTATTCATGTTACGATGAAGAAATCAAAATATATTCAGACAAGAAATATTTGCATACAAGGTGATTTCAATTTAATACCAGTTATGGTCGGCGTGGTACTGATCGGCAAGCGTGTAGTTGAGGCAACAGTGAATGCTGAAATAGTAGTAGAAGAGGTGATGGTTATTGTTGACGGATCCCATTGAACAGACATATTTTCAGAAAACGAAAAACTGTTAATATTTCAATCAAAATTTATGATAAAATCTGAAACCATTGAGCATGTGGAGTCGTATATGTTACATGTTCGTTAAGTAACACTTGTTACAAATTAAGTATAATCTATCACAGATATTATTATTTTTTTCTAAATATACTCCCCATTGCTTCTTGATGAAGTTTTTACTCATTGATTTTTGATAATTTATTATCTTTTGTAAATATAATACTTACTGCGTTTTGTTGGTTTAATTATCTTTTATGTTCATATAATAGTGATTTTTGTTATCTCGTCTTTATATAATACTAATTGTTTTTTGTTATTTTTGTTATCTTTTATATACATGTATATGATACTTATTGTTTTTGTCAGCTCGTTTTAGTATAATATTTATTGCCTTTTGTTAATTTTGTGAACATTCTTTTACTTTTAATGATAATCTGTATTATTATATGATCTAAATATAGCTGAAATCTCTCATTAATCCAAACAGTAGTCAATTGAACTTTTATAAAATCATATTCACTGGGAGTAGAATCATATTCACTAGCTTAATTGGATTTTCCCAGTCTAAAGATAAGTCGAGACTCATTTCAATGACCATATATTGTAGACTATTAATTTCTCGTGCTTGTTTTTTTTTTAAAAATGTTGCGTTTTGTTCTTAATGGCGTATTTCTCTATTAAAATATCATCAAAATATTTCCATTATAGTTAAAGGTCCTTTTCCCTCGCTTCAACGAAACAGGCAAAAGTTGTATGTTGTACTTTCTGTGATTTTTTTATTCTTATAGCCAATTTATATAATAAAACAATTTTTGACTAGTTAGCCATTGAATTTGATGTGATATTCACCGGCAAAGAGTCACATCATCGCCTCGATTAATATGTCATATGCCGGTGAATATCATATCATATTCAATGGCACGTTTATCAATAATTTGTATATTAACTGTGATATATTTGGTAAAAATTACACGTGCATGTAACGTATTTGGTACATTACATGTGTTACTAGAATTTTCACTTCGACCTGGCGCCTGTAAATTTGCATACGTGACCTTAAGTGATGATTGCATCAATGAAATTTGTAAAACTACAATATTTTTGCATCATAGTAATAATAAAAATATGATAATACCTGTATTACCGATAAAACCGCAGGCAAACATCT